AGCGGAAGCTCACACCGCTCCCCGGAATCGAACCTGCGACCTTTCGATCAACAAGCTCAGCAGCACAGTGCTTTAACCCACTGTGCCACCGGGGGGCCCATTTTTAATTTTATATTAATTTTAATTAATATCATATTAATTTTAATTAATATCACTGTTTAATTGTTATGTAATAGGATTTTATATTGTTGGTTTATATTGTTGTTATTGATACTGTTGGCATTGAATTGTTGCCTGTGTTAGCCGCCCTGAGTCCCCCCTCGGGGGTGAGAAGGGCAGGGTAGAAATGGTGTAAAATAATAAATAAATAAATAAATAAATAAATAAGTATGCCCACCCCATCTGACATAAAAATGCCCACATGAACAGGTGATTATAGGCCTAAATTAGACATGTAGAATAGTCATAGGATGTCTTAAATCTATACCTGTTGATAGACTCTATAAGCTAGCTTGCATTGCCCCCCCCCCCCGGTGTGATGGGAAGTTGCTGCCAGCTGTGAGAGAAATAAAAGCCACCCACTATTAGACTATCAGCCTCCTCTCAGTAGAATAAAATCAAGGAAAAGTTTCATGAAAACCACCACTCCTCTAAATGTTCCTCCACCAACAGCAAGAATATCCCTGTGGGCAGCAAAATCAGGCAATCCCAACTGAGTTTGAAAGAAGAAGCTTCCTAACACAATGGTCTGTCTGGATCAGCAATACAGTTGTAGATTGCACATGTTTTTGCCTTCAAATATTCACAAATTCTAACTGTGTAGTGAAAACATTGATCTCATGATCAACAGACTCTTATGACTGCAGTTTCAAAATACTTCTAAGTTCCTTTTTGTTTTTATTCTGCCACATGGTATCAAAACAAAACAAGACATGAATAAAGTCAGATAATTACAATAATACAATATATAAAACACATAAGAAAACATCTGAAGTTTGAAGAGGAGACATAGAACCCATCTAAAGTGACAGCAACCAGATAAACACCCACAAGAGGGTACAAAACAAAGCCATTAATGTGCATCAGTGCTCTGTGATTTGTGTAATCACATCCAACTAGCATGGTAAACATCATCATTGTTGGATTGTATGGTTCTTAACCAGTGTGGTATTCATCAGTCAATCCCAATAATGAGATGGGAAACCTTTTGATATAGTTTGCACTCTCATTACTTAAATAATTATGCCCTCTTAGAATCAAAGAATCGTTGAGTTGAAAGAGAACTCGTTGGCCATCTAGTCCAACCCTCTGCTAAGAAGCAGGAAAATCTCATTCAAAGCACCCCCAACAGATGACCATCGAGCCTCTTTTTAAAAACCTCCAAAGAAGGAGCTTCCACCACACTCCAGGGCAGGGAGTTCCACGGCTGAACAACTCTCACAGTTAGGAAGTTCTTTCTAATGTTCAGGTGGAATCTCCTTTCCTGTTGTTTGAAACCATTGTTCCACGTCCTAGTTTCCAGGGCAGAAAAAAAAAGCAAGCTTTCTCCCTCCTCCTTCTTGAGTAAACCCCTTTCTCAAGCCAGCCTCTTAATTGGGGTGGCATTTCTACTTCCTTGGCCTATAGAATGCTTTGTTATAAAGCTACTGCTGTACTTCTTCCATGTTGGTATAATGGCTTGGTATTACACAGGTATGAACAAATATTGACAGTTGGTGAGACAGCAGCATGATTTATAGGCTCCATCTACACTGCCATATAATACAGTTTGAGACTGCATCATATTGTCACACTAGACTCATATAATGCTGTTTAACTGCACTGAACTGCATTGTATGAGTCTACACTGCATTATATGGCAGAGTCGATGGGGTTATAGCTAATGCTCCTGGTTAGGATTATAGTGCCAATGCAAGATTCCCATTTTTCCTAGAACTGGGATGTTCAATTGGCCCTATATATCAAGAAATTCTATCATCCATGGTTCATTTTATATATGTGACACCATTTTGCTATGCTATTGTATATAATTGTATTTGAGCACTCTGGTATCCACAGAGAGTCCTGGAATAAAACCCAGTAGATGCCAAGTATCCCTTTTATGTGTTATAGCAATAGAGTGGCAAACCATTCCTAGTATAAATCTCTATTTGGGTTAATATCCATAAATTTCAACCTACATTTACTTTTATCTGTGTTGCACCTGTGTTTATCATAATAAGCAATTACATATATGCGCAGAAGGGAAATTCCATTTTTGAATCTCTAGACTAGCTATTACAATATGGCAGCACTGAGTGCATTTAGTCACCACATACTATTTGTTTTATGAAAGATATACAATCTTTTTGGGACCTAGATGCACCAACAGTAGCGATATAACGTCATGTTTCTTTCTCTAGCAGGCTAGTTAATGTTCATTGTCTGGAAACTTGCTTTGACTTTTGTGGTTTCCTAAAACTATATTTTTCACCAATCCATATTCAGACTTTTAACATTCTCCTTTGTACAAGAGAAATCATGTATGGTTAAATCACTGTCTTACCACAATACTGGTTGCACCTGAGAGTTTTCACCCTTTGCAGGAATGATCCAGCTCAACCTGCATTTCAAAACCAAAATCAAATAGGTGGCGTTCTTTGAACTCTTCTAAAAGGCAATGCTAAAGATGATGCAAAAAACAGCCACTATCACAAAGCACAACTAGAGTTTTGACTTGTTCCAAAGCACTGGTTAAAAGGTAGCCACTACAGAAGTAGCTTTGAATGGAAATTCACAACTTTTCTTATCCTCCTGGAATTAATTTGTGCTGTGTTTCCTGTAGAGGATGGATCTCAATGAGACTGTGGGATGATTCCAAGACAGGGCAAGTATAGAATAAGGGATGGAACTGGATCGATGACAAAATGATGGAGGAAAAGGATGAGTTTGCAAGAATTAGAGGGGGCTGATGTATAGAACTATTCATCTGTAGCTTCTTCTTGAAGAAGATGTTTCCTCAAAGGGCATTTTGCAAAAAAGGAAATACATGTGCACAGTTAATGTGAGTTGAATCAAGAATGTGAAATAATACATGACAGTGTCCCTATTCACTTTTGCCCTTTTCACACTGCCTAATTATCATGCTGTGATTCCATTTTAACTGACAACGAATTCTATAGAATCCAGAGATCTGCAATTTAGAGACAAGTATTTAAAATTTACTTCAAGATAGCTCTAATGCCTATCCAATAGGCTTGGGTAACCACAGAAAAATTTGGTTCTAAACTCGTTTTGTTTTTAGGGGGGCCCTTGCGTTTCTTTTTTTAAAGAATTCCGAAATTTTCCTTTAAAAAAGTTCGAAATATACGAAATTTTGTAAAATTACGAATCGATTCATTAATGGCGGACGCGATTGCGCAATATGCTAAAAAACCCTCCAAATGGGACAGGGGGAACTTCTGAAGCTTCCCTCTCCCTCTGTTGTTGACTGTTGGTGTGATAATTTATTTTTTATCACTGATAAAACAAACAACAACTATAAAACTTGCACCAGACATACGGAAATAATTACGAAACAATTATGAAACAATTTCAAAACAATTTTGAACCAATTATGAAACAATTACGAAACAATACGAAATAAATTGGAAAAATTGTTTTGATTTTTAATTACTCCTCACAGTAGTCCTGCATGGCTCAATATTGGATCATAAGCTAATTTAAATACGAATTAATAACGAATTACGAAATTAACGAACGAAACTGCCCAAGCCTACTATCCAAACTACAAACAGCAATATTTCATGATGCATCAATAGCAGTTTACGTAGGATAGTGGTGCTATAATAAAGTCATCATAGTTTAGTGGTCTGAGCATTGAACCATGGCTATGAAGGACAGGGATCAAATCTCCACTCAAATCATAAAAACTCACTGGGTGACCTTGGACAAATCACATTGCCTCAACTGCAGATGAAGGAAATGGCAAACTACATCTGAACAAATCTTACCAGGAAAATTCTTAGGGAATCACCATAGGGATATCAAACATCATAAATGACTCCAAGGTACACAATAACATCAACAATAACTGTGTATTACAGAATGTTATAGGCAGAAAAACCCTCAAAGTACATTCAGTCCTGTTAAAAACACGTTTCCAACCTATAGATCTATGTGTCTCTTTATTATAAATATTTACCTATTTCTCCCACCCTTCCTCCATGTGCTTTACAATTCTCCATCCTCACATAAGAATTTGACAGCAACCCTGTTAGATATAGTAAGCTAAGAGATTGTATCCCAAGAATCACTTGATCCTTATGTTCAAGGAACGATATTGTTGTATCAACACAAAACAATGATAGAAACCATACAAAAAAAAAAAAAACAGACGAAAGGGTCATCTGGATTTTGAAAGAATACATATAGATCATTTCTGGGGACTTTGGAGTCCAGTAAGGAGCAAACAACTTTCCCATATCTGAGCAGCACCTGAGCAAAAAGTTCAGGTGTCTGTTAAAGCAATTTTCATCTGTAAAGGCTGCCATATTTTGTGTACAACAAACAACAATAACAGCATGGTTTCATGTTCCGTGATTTTTTAAAAAGCCCCTCGGAAAGTGCACTCAATGAGTTCTGCTTTCATATGACAAGAGATTACAAACATTTTCTCCTGATAAATATGCATGATCATTATTCATGTAGGATTTGTGCAGCTTATGACTGTTTCCATGTTTCCACCATTTATCTCTAAAAATAGCAATTTCAAGATTATTTCAAAATATGAAATTATATAAAAAGCATGTTAAGAAATTCCAAAATAAGTAACTGTAGAAAGTATGCCAAGAGTTACCTGCTACATTAATGTTAACAATGACTGACTGATATCGGTATTAAGCTATCTTCTGCTTCCCTGATTGGCTACGGCAACAATTTGATTATTTATTGTTATGAGTCATGTCATATCAGTATATGCAATATAAATAGTAGTATCAACATTTAGAATCAGTAGTTTCAGAAATTATCCATATTTCATAAAATTCAATTTTTAGTTAAAATGACAAAAAATAAGTTACCTGCTGTGATGCATATAATTCATAGCATGCAAAAGACACATGTGATGGAAGGCACGTTAGAAGATGTTGTTTTGGCAGGCCTTTGTAGTTCAGGAAATGACCATACATACGTATAAATTATGCAACCGTTAACTGTTTCCTCACTGGTGTGCTAATACAAATCGCCCAAAAAAGCCTAGTTTGTTAGATTGTTATTAGATTGGGTTCCACGTTGTCTGTCCACAAGTAACAGAGCGTTGGTTATCAGAAAGTCAGAGTGATTGCTACGGTTTCAAGCTAGAAAAAAGGAAGCTGATGCTAACCTCTACAGCACTAACCCTTTCCTGTACAGGAGCAAAGTGCAAACCTCATGTCTGATTTAAGACCTGATTTAAGGTCAGACTATGTGTTACATTAAATCAATTGAATTTTTTTGTATTATAGAGTAAGCACACACAGATCTGTGATGTGGATTGGAAACAATATGCATTTGACCCTTAAATTTGGATTTTTGTTTTTTTAATTAAAATCAGGGCATCATTAGGGTTAAAAAAAACCCAACTGATTATGCAGCACACATGGTTTAAAATTAAATTTAAGATTGAAATAAGATTGCACTTGGTTATAACAGAAAAACTGACTGACTAACATGAACTCCAACTGCTTGGTCTATTGCATGAATCACAGGTGTGCTTGAGTTTTCTTGAAGTGAAGCTCTCTGGTCAGGAGAAGAAAACTGAGACATACATGAAAATAGCAACTAATTTACTACTACTACTTCTAATAATAATAATAATAATACCCCCAGTGGCCAGGCATGTAGCCGGGGGGGGGGGGGGCTTGAGGGGCTTCAGCCCCCCCCCCCCAAAATTCTCATGGTGGTTCACGAAAAGGCCTTACTGGTGCATTATTTAAACTGTTATGTTTATTCATATCATGATCTGATCACCATACTCAATATATCCCATATGCATGGGGGTAGTGGGGTAATGATACAAAAGGTTTGCTAGGGTAGACCCTCTTTCACTCAGACTCAGCCCCCCCCGAAACTCAGCCCCCCCAAACCCCCTGAAAAAAACTCAGCGCCCCCCCCCCTCAATCCCACCCCTTTTGGTAGGAGCCCCCAGTGGTGCAGCGGGTTAAACTGCTGAGCTGCTGAACTTGCTGACCAAAAGGTCAGTGGTTTGAATCCAGGGAGCGGGGTGTTAGCCCCAGCTTCTGTCAACCTAGCAGTTCGAAAACATGCAAATGTAAGTAGATCAACAGGTACCACTTCAGCAGGAAGGTAATGGTGTTCCATGCAGTCATGCCGGCCACATGACCTTGGAGGTGTCTATGGACAAACTGGCTCTTCACCTTAGAAATGGAGATGAGCACCACACCCCAGGGTCAGACATGACTAGACATCATGTCAAGGAGAAACCTTTACCTTTAATAAATAAATAAATAAATAAATAAATAAACTTTATATATTCCCCACCACTGTCTCCCCAAAGGAACTCAGGGCAGCTCACAAAAGCACTCTGGAGTGTTGCACATAAAATAAATATTACTTAAGCATAAAAACAGTAACATAAAATTGCCTTGTGCATACAATAAAAACTTAATGTATAATAATTCCTTTTTGCCTTTTTTTGCCAAAAAAGAGGTGAGACTTTTACATGAAGAAAAAAATGTATCAGTACCATATGCTAGAAATTACTATATTGTTGTCAGACAAACTGTATTGTCATCTAAAGCCAGTATTGTCATTCTCTTCTACTGAGTGCTTTGGTCTCAACACAGTGACACATGCTGCCACAACATATGTAACATGGTCCTTTGTCATAATCTTTCTATATATATTTTTTCATGTCAGCAATGACTTGAGAAACTGCAAGTCACATCTGGCATGAGATAATTGGCTGTCTGCAAGGATTTTTGATGTTTTACCATCCTTGTGGGAGGCTTCCCCAGTGTCCCCACATGGGGAGCTGGAACTGACAGAGGGAGCTCAACCCGCTCTCCCCAGATTCAGACCAGTGACCTGTTGGTCAGCAGTCCTACCAGCACAAGAGTTTAACCAATTGTGCCACCGGGGGCTATAATCTAGCTACAAAAATGCTACAAAAAAACCTTTCTATTGGCTCTATACATGACTGAAAGCATAAGTTCTCTCTAAGCACTTCTAGGTTCTCCAGCCCAGTTCTGTGGACGATGACCACCAGAGGTAGGACCACATAATTTCCAGTCTTCAAAATACTAAATGCAGCAGGACGGCTTTGTGTTATATCAGGAAATTATTATTATTATTATTATTATTATTATTATTATTATTATTATTATCATCATCATCATCATCATCAACATCATCATCATTATTCCACTTTATCTCCCCCTAAGGTGATTCAAAGCAGCTTCACATAAAAGCATCAGCATAACAATTTTAAAATATACAAATATACAAACATTAAAACAGGATTAAATATAACCAGTTTAAAAAATCCATTAAAAACAATTAAAACACATTCAAAGTTAAAAATCACAGCACCCCCTTAATTGAGCTTAAACACCTTCATCTTTAAAAGCCTGCCTGAAAAAAAAAGGTGTTAGCCTGCCACCAGAAGGACAGCAGGGAGAAGGCCATCCTGGCTTCCCTGGGCAGGTAGTTCCAGAGTCAAGGGGCAGCCACCTATTCCCACCAACTGAGCTTACTGTCGCAACTCAGGATAGATTCATCTTGCTCAAGACACCACCACACCCCAAGGCTGTAGGTTTTGTAGTTTATTGAGAAAAAGCAAAATCAAAACAGAGAAATAAAGATGCAAAGTTCAATAGGCAAAACAGAGTCTTAAATGCAAATGCAAAGTTCCCAGGTTCCAAAGGCAAATAACATGAAGCATAGTCCTTTAGCATTGGTTAAACAAGAATCCATGGCAGCAAGACAAGTCCTCAAAAAATCAGGATCAAAATCAAAGTCCCAAAGAGCCAGAAGCTTTCCGCAAAAGCCAAGGTAATTCCACGGAAGTTAACAGGGTAAAAACAACATTGGACTGACAGAGAATGTCCTTCGACCAGATCATTAAATAAGTTTTCCCAACATGAAAGCATTACGTTGACCTCTAGCTTCATGCTTGTTGGCAAGGCGTGCGCTTCTCCGAACTCTTAATTGCAAACGATCCTCTCTAATCAATTCTCTACTATCTTCAAGGCCGGATAGCTCATCATCTTCACCCTGGGAACCAAGAGGCCCTGAGCTCCCAGAAGGAGCCTCCACCTGGAGCTCTGAAGTTTCACTATCTCTATCTAAAGCCACATTACTCTCTCTGGGGAACACAAATGCCGTCTCTTCTTCAGAATCAACACTGTCTGCTTCAGCTGTCTCACTAACCGGAATGTGTTCAGAAATCTGTAACGCATCATCGTCCTCGTCCTGAGGAAACTCAGGCTCAGAAAGCTCAGCCACAACACTTGAGAAGGAGGTGGGACCGAGAGAAGGGCCTCTATTGAAGATCTCAGGGCCCGGACAGATTCGTACAAGGGGATGCAGTTGGACAAATATCCTGGACCTGAATTGTCTAGGACAGTGATTCTCAACCTGGGGTCCCCAGATGTTTTTGGCCTTCAACTCCCAGAAATCCTAACAGCTGGTCAACTGGTTGGGATTTCTAGGAGTTGTAGGCCAAAAACATCTGGGGACCCCAGGTTGAGAACCACTGGTCTAGGACTTTAACAGTCATAACCAGCACTTTGAATTGTGCCCAGAAACAAACTGGCAGCCAGTGGAGCTGCTTGAATGGGCAGCATTACTATCTTCCCCCCTACTTCTAAGAATTATGTGAGTGTTTCACCATTTGAGTGGTAGAGTGCAGCAGTGTTCTACTGCTAAAGAAATATTTTTAAAATAGTAACCATTAAAAACATTTATGAATTAATCACGCACACGGAAATAGTTATACATACAATATGCTCTCCTATTCAGTAGCCTAGATCCAGAACTCATCCAATGCCACTGCAGAGAACATTCTAAGCTACTAAAGCAGTGTGGGATGAAACCCAGTTCAAGAGCTTTTCCTAGCTTTGTTGGAGCAGGATTTGGGGATGTGTGTGTATAGGGTAAAGTGGAGGGTGCTCATCGCCCCAATTTCACAGACAGAACCAATACCATAGAAAACTGCAGAATAGTATGGTTTAATTTATAAAATGTTGCCTCTTCTTTCTACTCTAATGATTGGGCACCTAGAGCAATTTTCCTAGAGAAATTTCCAAGTAGGAAAAACTTAGGTGTTAGGCACTTTTCCTTTTAGGATAAATACATCCTGGTATGTGGTAACACTCATACTGCAGGGGAGGAATGTCCTTGTCAGCCCTGGATTGAAAGGAGAACAGAATTGATATCCATCGTGATGTGCATGCCAGGTCAGAGGTAAAGGAGTGGAACATAGGGGCTTAAAAGTCTGCCTCACCTACTCTACCGTTTCTACTGGTGATGATCTGCCAACCTTCCCCTCTTTAGTTCAGTGTTTTGTTGGTACCCTGATTCAGATAGGAATGCTTGTTTCACTTTTCCAGCATTTTCCACTGCCTATCCTATGATGAAGCTTATGGAACATGGAAAATTGGCTCAAGGGTGTGGTCTCTAACTAAGCGATCACTTTGTACATAGTGGAGGGGGATGAGAACCAGTAGACACCATTTGGGCGAAGGAGAGCTCTCTACATTTGCCCCTTGTAGCCATGAGAGCAGAGTGGGGGGAGCTGGGGAAGGAGACCAGCTTTAAGGTTTACCTGGGTGATGTCATTGCTTTATGTTTCAGGACTTGAGCGAGGGGCTTCCTTAGATGTAATTCATGTAACAACAACCACAGGAGGAGGAGGAGGAGGAGGGGGAGAGGGTGGTGGTGGTGGCGGAGAAGGGGGAGGGGGAGAGGGAGGAGGGGGAGAGGGAGGTGGTGGTGGTGGTGGAGGTGGAGGAGGAGGAGGAGGGGAAAGGGGCCTTCCAGAGCAGGGGACAGCCAGGTTTCCAGGGCTAATGTCTCATCCAATCTGAGGGGGAAGTTAGGAAGGGACTCCCTGCCTAAGTAGTTTCCCCCTTTGTGGCTCACATTCAGAGGTTTTACAATGAAAAAACGAATGAAAATAGCATTATTTAACCCAAAGCCTCATGTCTGGTCACTTTATTTCCTAAGTGGGTCAGTCCAATGGGATACTGTGGTCAACAGTATCAAAAGTCTTCAAGGAAACCTGGATGATCAATAATGCAGCAGTACCTT